GTTTGGAAAAATAGCAACCATCCAGAGTGCTTCCATCCATAAAAATGTCACTGTCAACATTTGATAGAATATTTTTCTAGACATCTTTCCATGCATTAATAGAGACAGAAAAACAGGTGGGTGAATAGGAAGATGAGAATGAGATTATAGTGTGCATCTTATTTTTATTTTTAAAAATAAAGTTTTAGGGCCGGCCCCGTGGCGCACTTGGGAGAGTGCGGCGCTGGGAGCACGGCGACACTCCCACCGCGGGATCGGATCCTATATAGGACTGGCCGGTTGCGCTCACTGGCTGAGCGCAGTGTGGGCGACCCCACACCAAGGGTTGTGATCCCCTTACCGGTCACGAAAAAGACAAAAAAAATAAAAAATAATAAAAAAAAATAAAGTATTAAATTTAATTTTACTATAACAAAAAGGAAAAACAAAAGAATTGCTGAACTTCTAGGGTAAGTAATGATTGTTATTTAAGTTCCTAGAGTTGAAACCCTTGTTTTTCCTTTGACTGTAGTATAATAATATCATGTGTAATATTTGGCAGATTAGAATACAGAGAGAACATGGTTTCTTAACCTGGGATCCATTATGGACTTCAGAGTCTATGACCCCTCCCAATTCAAAACTGTGTGAAAAGTGACGTGTACTCAATAGAAGCCTTTTTATTTGATATTATCAGGACAAGGACTTAACAAGTAATTGAAAATGTTAAAGGAGGAAACTAAAAATCATATATAAAAATATGTATCAAAATTTTTATTTCAAATAAAATCATAAATATCTGTTCATTTTTCTCTGTTTTGAAGTAGGACTTTTCTTTTGAGTATTGATTTCCTGTTTGAAGATCCATAACATCTTTCTTACAGTAAGCCATATCTGTAATATGTCTTCTACAATTTCCAGTTTACTTTTCTTTAAAATAGAATGAAACATTTAAAAATATTTTAAAATTTAATGACCACAGAATCCTTTTAGATTTTTATTATTTCTCCCAGCCTTTTACAGTTGTCTTGCTTAACTCTAATTTCATAGCAGCTGTTTTTTTAGCCATTCACGTTTGAGTCTTTACAAAGCATTTAACTTAATTTTCCTAGAAACAACAATTCTTTTTACACTCATTTTATCATACTATGTTACATTTAAATTGTTTAATTACAAGTAAAACTGATATAGAGACTTGGGGGGGGGGAAGCAACTTATTCTTGGTAAGCATACAAATCAACTTGTGAAAAATAGTACTTTGACATATTGGAGAGTACCTACTAGTGATAAATGTTAGCATTCTGTGAGCATCATTTATTATAAATTTTTAAAAAATCATTGGTTAATTATACAAGTCTCTTAAAAGGATATCAGGTGAGAGCTTTTTTACTGAATGTGTATCTTTCTGAAGCAAAGGGCCCATAGCTTTCAAGAGATTCTCCAAGGAATGATGTAAAAACGTTTAAGAAGTGATAGTCCAGAAGGTCCTTTGAAAAATAAAAGTCCCACTGCAGTTATTCACTATTTTGAAAATACACTTCAAGATGGAATTACTCTTTGCTTTTTTAAATAGTTTTCCTTACAATATTTCCATTATTAACTTATGTAGAGTAACAAGTAGTCTGTCTTTGAAAAATAGAGAGACCAACCTCATGCAAGACCCATGTCCAAGCAGCCTCAACAGCCGGCTCAGCTTCTCACAGACCCCCCTGCCATAGTTGTGCACAGTGCAGCTACTACTGCCCTAGCCATTGCACCAGCGGGACTGGCTGGGTTTGGGATACCCTGGATGTGGGAGCCCCTGCTGCCACTGAAGCACTATCCACCCTGTCTGGGGGTGGGGCCCCCTGCCACTGCCACCTGCAGTACAATGGCCATCACTAGATACCTTCCACACTGCTGCACCAGCCAGACCAGCCACGCCTGAGACCTCTGCCCAGGCCACCTCACTAGCCAGCCTGGTTCTGTGCAGGACCCCTGCCGCACCTGCCTGCAGTGCAGCAGCCATTGCCAGAGGCCGTCCATGCCACCTCACCAGCCAGACCAGCTGTGCACGGGACTCCAGCCCAAGCCACCTGACCAGCTGGCCCTGCTATGCATGGGACCCCCTCCATAGTCACGTGCAGTGTGGCTGCTACTACTATAGCCATTGCACTAGCCATATCAACTAGGTGCAGAATATCCACCCAGGCCATTGCACCAGCCAGACCGGCAGTAGGTGTGATGCCCTGCCAATGCTGAAGCAGTAGCCAGTGTAGCTGGGTATGGGACCCCAGCTGCTATCACCTATACCACTGCTTATGCCACTGCCACTGTCGGCAGTCACACACACACTGCTGCTGCACCATTCAGACCGGTCAAGGGAAGGACCCACCACTATCACCACTCATTGACACAAGAAGCGTCACAAATGGAGACACCAGAAAGAGATAAGCTAGCACAGACCCATACCCCACTGACACAATTCACAGGGGGAATTTTATTCTCCCTGTGTGCAGTGAGTACAATAGCCTTCACCCAGGGAGAGCGACAC